GAGCGCCGCGGGCGGGCGCAGCGGGGGCGCGGAGGCCGCGGGCCCAGGCCCGGCGCGTGGCCGCTCTTCCGCGCCTGCCCGCCCGCCCGCGCTCCCTCCCTCCCCACGCGCCGCCCGCCCGCGCGTCCCCGTGGTGGCCGCGTGGGTTGTGTCTCCACGTTGCCCGGCGTCCCCACCCCAGGGCTTTCTCCCGGGCCTGCGGTTCCGAGGATGCCCTGGGTGTTTGGGGAAACTTTGGGCCAGTGAGAAAGCAGAGGAGGAGGCTGGCGCCTGGCCTTCGGCCCAGCGGGGCGCGCAGAGGGCGGCCGCTGGCAGGCCCTGGCTCCCGACACCGCGGCACGCCGGTGGCACGCCGGGATCCACCGGCACCCACGGCCCCCGTGGGTCGGGACCCAACTCCCGGCTTAGGGCCCGGCTCCTGAGCGGTGCACGGTCTTCTCTTGCGTGTTTTGTGCAACAAAAAATGAGCACTTTTAAGCACGGGAGAGCAAAACCTCTAAGAAAAGTTGGGAGAGAGGGACTCTTGAGATGGGGCGGATAATCTTTAACAGTGCTCAAAGTTCTCTTTCTAGTAATGCTGGCTTTGGAGCAACTTTTAATTAAGAGAGCTTGTGTAAGTAAGATGTTTACACGCATTCCACTACGCAGCAATAATTTGTTTTGCTCTGCGTGTTACAGCATGAGACACACGACACTGTTTGGCTCCTACATTTAAAACGTAGGTTTTTAGCAATTACCGCTGCTCCTTGCTGTTTCGGGTGGGGCGGGGCAATGAAGTCATCACGCTGACCATAGCTTTCCTTGGGACTTGAAGCTTTGCGTCCACCCGGACCTTCAGGGAAGCCAGGTCTAGGTGTCACTGGTCCGACTGGTCACTGTCACCTCGACATTGTGCTGGCCTGGAGAGCACATCTAGTACAGGGCTGACTGTAAAAGGTTTGAGAAGCACAGGAAAATACGAATAAGGCACAAGCACAGCACCTGCTTAGAGAAGTCAGCCTTCGGTGGGCAGGAAGGTGCCTGCCCACTGTTGCGTTGCTGGCACAACTGCCTGGCCTGCCGCGACCTAAATGCCAGAGGCTGGTGCTTATTCTTCAAACCATCACTGCGCCTGAGCTCAGAGAGCCCTGTTGATAACATCCGAGGCCACCGATTGGCTGCTGCAGAGCTTAACGTTCTGTCTTTAATCGGAATGTGGAAATGTGAAGCTACTCAGAATGTTGGCAAAAAGGATTGTTGAAAGTATCACAAGTTGACAAATGACATTCAGTTACCAATTAAATACCTTTGCAAAAGTGCTAACATGTTGTGAGTTAAAAAGAGACCTCCCGTGTGTATGTGGCAGATGACGTCCTGTTGACAATGTTTCTCCTTGTTCAACTCTCTCAGGTAGTTTGCCATTCCCTGCTTTACCCAAACTCTATCTTTGCTCCCCAAACACATTTGGAGTCATTATAGATCTGAAGTCAGTGGTAGGCATACTATACGTGCTGAACCAGTACAGACTGTATTATATGGAGAATGAATTATTATTATTATTTTTTACTAGATTTCATGCTCTGGAAGGCAGATATATTCTCTCAAGAGCAAAGTGTCTGAAACACGGGGATATTGTTATGTGTTAACCCTGACAGATTTCTAAAATAGAGAACTTTACATTTTAAATTCAGCTGGGAACTGGAGAACAGTCATGTGTTAAAAGTAGTATAGGATCTTTTATGCATGAGTAGCATATAGCCCCACAATAGTGGGATTTTCTGGATTCTCAGAGGAGGTTTGTAAAGAGAAACGGAACAAGATTTTAAAAACTGGTTTTATGCTTTTGGGTCTTGAGTCTCATCTTCATAAGTAAGTGGGGAATAATTTTGAAATTGTATAGACTTTTCCAAAAGGAGAAAAAGACTTCCAAACTTTTCATTGGAACAGTTTTTCACATTAATGTTTCATTCCCAGTCACATGCATAGTTTTATTTGGCAAGTACATGATATACCTGTAAATTCAGCTTGTGCTTTATGAACAATAATCTCAGTCTGACAACACTTGAAGCGTCTTTTCTTCACTTTTCTTCACTTAACCATTAGTCTGATGGTTTATATGTGGTCAGGGAACATTCATGTAAAGATGTAAAAACTGGAACCATTTTGTTTTAAAGCTAATAAGTTGAAAATGGGTCAGAAAATACAGGAGGGCTTTCTCTTCAGTTACAGTAATTTTATCTTAAATTACCAGCAGCTGCACTATGGGTACATTGTGACCATTGTGAACATTTCTTCACTGAACCTCAAGGACTTTGGGGGAGAATACCTGATAAAACCGCAAAGGTATAACTTCTTTACTAGGTTTAACTTCTTCACACAGGAAGCAGGAATCTTACAATGTGTTTTATTGGGAAAACAAATTCTGCTCATGTGCATTGTCCATGACATGTACAGTTTAAAACACCCTTACAGTTTATAATTTATAAACACCCTTAGCTCAAAATACCCTTTCTGCTTGACTTTTAAAACAGTGTAGCATCTCATAAGTAGGTTATAGAGCACTTAACAATTTTAAAGTAGAAAATACATAGCAAAACACCTACTAAAAATGGAAGGTGTAGCAATTTAGGAGTTGAATTGTTTAAAGACTGAAACTAAGCAATGGGACATTTAAGTTGTAAGACTAAAAAAATATTCAAAATGCTACAGGGAACTGAAAATAAAGCGAGGACAGTTCGTTAGCACTTTAATTATTCACTCAGGGGCGCAGACACGTTTACTTTAAAGGCTGTTGGGGAGACTGTAGAAGACCACTGAGACACATCCTTTAGAGTTAAGGGAAAGGGTTTGTCCCTGGCTGATAAACTGCCAAGCAAAAGGCTTCTACCTGTCCTGGGGTGTGAACAGGGGACTGACCACACACACACACACACACACACACACACGTCTTCTATTCCTAGGTGGACAGTGTATTTCCCAGTCCTTTGAGGACCCCACAGAATACCAAGACTTCTTCAGAGACCTCATATCAAGACGAGATTTTAAAAGCGTTTGTACAAGATTCCAAATGTGAAGACCTGAGCTGTGTGTGCGCCCTCCCGGGGAAGGAGAGACGCCAGGATTTCCGGTCGCCACTGTCAGGCAGCAGCTGGGGCTAGCTGTCCGCTTGACACCTGGTGAAGTGGCGGTTTCAGGGAGAGAAATATTTAAAGCTGACACCTGTCACCAAAACATTTGGTACAGATTTTCAAAGAGAAGTTAGAACTAATGGTGAAGTACAGTGCTTAAATTTGGTAAAAAGAAAATGCCGAGGAGCTAAATTTCATAAGCTAGGCTTTCCAGGCGAAGGCTCTTTTTTTTGGAAATGTCACTCAGCAACAAAATGAAGCCCGAATTTAAAAGAAATTGTTTTTAAAAGTCATATTATAATAAGGAGACAGCAAAGTTGGTAGTGACTAGGAAAACCTGAAAGATGGATATTTGCATTGTTTTTCTTCTGTTTTTCCACGGACTCTATAGGTGTCTTGATTCTGTTAGTATGTTGTACTTTAGTGGGTGAACACGATTGCTGTGACCCTCCAGGAATTGGGAAATCGGAAATGCCAGGTGGGTAAGAGGCCTAGAGAGGAAGGCGGAGTAACGGGCGGTGCTGCCAGTGTTTGTTGATCCGATGCCATGCCTCTGCCCACGTGTCTACCCAACTGACCCCTGGTCCCCAAGCGCCCCACCCCAGGCCCAGCCGCGGCGGGCGGGCGGGGAACGCTGCTGCCCTGCGATGGGTCGGTGCAGATCCTCCGGGCCGACACCAGCGGCCTGTGCAAGGCCGGCGTCCCGGGATGAGCGGTCTTCCCTCCTCCCGCCCCTTTCCGCGGTTGTGACATCACGCCCGGGGACGACGGTTGCCGAGAGACAGCTCCGTTCTGGTTCCCTGTAGTTGCCGGGAGCGCGGGTACACAGAACGGTCCCTAGGGACGAGGAGGGGTGGCGGCGAGCGCACCGCGGGGGGCGCCATGAGCCGGCGGCAGGTGTTACAAGGTAGGCGCTGCGGGCCGAGCCCCGACGGGCCGCGCCGCGCGCAGGGCGGCCTGCTGCATCTCCCCTCTCTCCCCAGTGTTCGAGATGTACCAGAATGCCCGGACCCAGTTCGTGCAGACGGTGGCGGAGCAGGCGACCCGGCCTCAGAACATCGAGACTCTGCAGAATGCGGGTGAGCCTTCGCGGCCCGCAGCGTCCTCCCTCACCCCTCAGCCCCGTCCTCTCTCCTCACCACCCTCCTGCCCTCCTGCCCGCCTCCCCTCCTTGCTCCTTCACTAGCTCAACGGTTGGGGAGCCGTAGGAACGGGCTAAAGTGCTACCAAGGTCCTCCTGATCCCTCCCCTCTGCGGGAACTCGGGGCGGAGAGGCTGCAGCTCTCTGGACTGACTGCCTGGAAGCCACTTTCCTGGATGAACCTACCCCAACCAGACCCAGGTTATTCTGGTGCTCTCTCTTGTCACTCTCTGGTCACATTCACCTCCTAGAAACAGACGTTTCGAGCTGCCTTAGCCTGTCTCCTCTCGGCATTAACGGAAGAGGAGTAGTATGCTTGAATCTTTTCCACTCCTCTTTCCACTCCTTCGTCTGGAAGGGGGGAGGGGAAAAGAAGCGTTCACAGATGGTGAAATCCACCATTATTCTGGCACTGTTGTGGTTTTTGTTTTTGTTTTTGTTTTCTGAAGAGACAATATTTATTGGCTCCTAACGGACCGCCAAGCACAGATCACAGAAGGATTCCACGCAAAAACAGCTTGAGGAACCAAGGAGTTTGCTTAGCTTCATTAACAGGGACCAATTTACCGGTGGCTACACCAGTGAAAATGCCTTCTCCCTCAGCCACCTTGACCACTTCAGCATTTGGAGAGGCTTGGGACTTGATAAGCCTCTCCTCTAAAGTCTTTATCTTTACCCACCCGATGACTGGAGGCAGAGAGAGAGAGAGAGAGAGAGAGAGAGAGAGAGAGAGAGAGAGATCCTGCTGGTAGCCACAGATCCTGAGCTTTCAGGAGGGCACCAGCAGAGTCTTGAAGACAGCTTTCCAAAAGATCTGCTTAACTGAACTGTAAGTTTAATGCCACTTACCAGGTCTTAAGAAAACCTCATTTATAGGATGAGATCCTTAAACTAGTTTAAATGAACACCATCAAAAATAAATCAAGTCCATGTCAGCATGGCCACAGTATTCAGATAGTGTTTACTATGGGTTTCTTTCTTCACTGGATTTTACAGTTTATCCCTTTGGTGTTATCACTGGTTGTGATGAGGAGCCATTTATAATGAAGAAAGATTTTTTTTCTTATTCAATCTTTCAAATATCTGTGAGATAACTGTAGATTTAGCTTCCTCCAGGAACCTCTCTCAGAACTTTAGTACATGATTACAACTAGGATGCTGACACAGAAATTTCCTGATCCTAATTTACATCTCTCTAGTTTTGTTTCCCTTGATTCATCATATAAACTTTCATCTTGAGAAGTCTGCCACAGTCAAGATACTTTTCTACAAAGATCCCTTGTATTTTCTTTTAAATTTTAAAGAACTAGTGAGTGCACATGCCACGGTGCGCTGGGAGAAGTCAGAGCACAGCTCAGGAGTTCAGCTCTCCCCTTCCACCTCATGGTCCTGGACGAGGGACCCAGGCTGCCAGGCATCTTCACCCTGAGCCACCATGCCAGCCCTTCTATAATCATGACCACTCTCTGCTGTCTCTAACCCTGGAAAATCCCTGAACTAGTATCTATTTAAAAAATGATGTCATTACAGAAGTTACTTTGTCCTGTAAGTGCTTCATGTAGATTGATTTTCTTTATTCTATGTACAAACATTGTTTATTAGGGCATTTCACATTTTAAAAACACTTTTAAATTTATTTTTTCTCGGTCCTACTCAATGTACTTTGTGAACAGGTACTTGCTATTTACAAGGACTTACTGCTTGGACAATCTATGTGTAGGCAAATGAATACTTTTTAAATAAAAATACTTAGAAAAATAATACTGACATATTGAAATGTACATAACACTCAAGATACAGCGTGCCTTCAGGAATTTTAAGAGGCAGGTTCCCTCTTCCCAAAGGAGTTCAAGGTAGAATACATTGTGAGTTTGTCTTTTGTTTTGTTTTGTTTTAAGATGAGGTTTCAGCTTTGGTGCCTAGGTTGGCCTTGAACTCCTTGAGTTCAAGTGGCTCTCCTGTCCCATTCTACCAAGTTGCTAAGGACAAACACAGGAGACAATGCTCCGAGTGCATGAGGAACTTACTATAAACTAGCCAAGAGATTACCAAAACACAAGAGGCTTGTGGGTCAGACCTGACGGTTTACACTTATGTCTGGCTTGTGAAGAAATGAATACAGAGAAGATATAGTAGTCTTTCAAGATTATCTACTTTTGACTGTCATCTTAATGGTATGTTAAGATTTTTTTCTTTTCTGGGGAAACATTTTTAACATACTTAAGTTTATCTAGATCTTATAATTCTTGTAGTAATTTTAAATCATGGCTATCCCTGTATGTATATTACTTTAGTTAAAAATAACCTACACATTTTATTATGAAAACTTTTCTTCCATATTAGTCAATAAGACTAACCCTTCTAATGGTATTTTCTTTTAAAAAATCATCATGAATTTAAATATTCTTTGAGTGTGTTTGAATTTCATATTACAGGAAAGCTTTCATCAAGCGTCTTCCCTTTGACAATGTTAGATATGGGTGTATTTTCCTCTTGACTTTGGTGTATGTATCTGGCAAGATTTTGTTTCTCCATTCTCCAAAATATTCTTTAATTAGACATGTAGCATGGATTTGCAATTATAGGAAAACCATTTTCCATACAGGCGTAATGAGAAAAGCATAATTCCCTCAGTAAGAATTTTGAATCACTATATGGGAAATTAATAATAAAGGTGAAGATTATTGATAAGCTTTGCTGTTGGCTGTTAAAAGAAGTTTATGTCTGTTTATGTCTTTAGGTACTACTAGTGGTTATCAAATAATAGTGAAATTTGTAAGCCTTTGGGATCTCTTTGGGAGCTACCATGGGAATTTGAATAAAGCCAGCCTTGGCAAACCTTAACAGATGAATCAACATTGGGCTGATAGTAAATTTAGGCTTCTCTGTGAAAAAAAAAAAAAAAAATCCTATCAGACCAGAAGTTATTTTAAAGTTTACAGAGAAAAGAACTGAGATAGTGGTTTAAAGAATTGGACTGATAATCTGCCTGGCTCAAGGAAGGGTCCACAGAGAACTGTTTCCAGCCCCGGGCAGGTAACTCATCCATGCTTTCCTGACTCTGTGAAGAAGGGGATCTGCAGTGGTGTTTGCTCATTGTTGGTTGTTTAAAATCTATGACGAACACTTTATTCTCTGTTTTTGGATTACATCATACTTTGTATAAGTTCTTTTTCAGTGGAGTAAAACTGAGATTTCTGCTAAACAGTTGTGTTGGTCCAAGGAGAAACTCGTGGTTGCATTCCGGGGAGAATGTTGGCCTTGCTGGAGAGCAAATGGAATGGCTTGTGAGGAGTCATTAGGCTACTTTAGTTTCCAAGAAGGAGTGTTGGTCTGGCATCTGCCTTATGCTTTGTGCCATAAGGACCGTTCAATATTCATTTTAAAGATGTCTTTATCTTTTGTGTCTGAGTATTTTGTATGTATGTGCACTCTGTGTGGGGCTGGTGCCTGCGGAGGACAAAAGAGGATCCCCTGAGCGGGGGGATGGCTGTGAGCCATCTCTCTCGCTCCTCCATGTTAAATTCATGGCTTGTTTGGATCCTTTCAGAAGTCTAGCTGAAAATAAATATTTCTGCATGTGGGCATCTCCAGAAAGAATAACCTGTGCCTACATTTCTAAACATTCTAGACATGCCTGTCAAGTCGGTCGTTGTCAAACTATGCAGTAGACTGCTCTGTGTTCCATGGAAATGCTTTCATAGGCTTAGGAGTACAGACTTAGCTTAACCCCGTGCGTCGTGTTCGAGTCATCCAGCTGCTCTGGAACTCGTGATCCTCCTGCCTCAGCCTCCTGAGAGTTGGAATTGCAGGCGTGCACCAGCACACAAGCTTATCACATGCATTGAAGAAACAAACAACTGAAGTCTAACTTAAAATGAAGTAGATGATTGTCAAGAATGGCATTGGCCCTATTGTGAAAAGAATTTTTTAAAAGATACAATTATTTGTTCCCATGGTTACTTGTTAATTATTTCAAGTTTGCTACTATATATGATATTTTTGGTTAAAAAAAATGTTCCTTTTTATTTTGTAAAATATTCTTCCTCTTTTGCTGCCAGAAAACTTGTGCTCAGTCCTCAACTGCAATAATAATGTTAGCCTATATTTCTGACACAGTTAGCAATCCATTCCCATGATGTATAGCTATTAAATGTTATCATTTTAAACATATCATTTTGTGTGTGCTGTGGGTTGAACCCAGGGCCTCTAACATGCTAAGCATGTACTTACCATGTATACATATATTTTAAAGTAAACTTTCATATAGAAAGGAAAACTTTCATAGTTTAAAGTAAACCTACAGATAGAGTCTAAATCTTTTAGAATGAGTATGTGAAATAAACAAAAATCTGTGAAGAGAGCGAGAGAGAGAATGTGTTTTGCTAGACGCTGAACTGCAGTCTTACTTATGCCAGCCGTGTGCTCTGTCGCTGAACTATGAATTCCCTAAGCCACAGACAGGTTTTCTAAGGAATTGCCTTACAAAGGTTTTTTCCACAGATATTACCCATGAAGTCAGTCCTTCTTGGTGCAGATCTTTTCACTTAGTATTCTGACTCTCCTTGATGCTTTAATCAACTGCAATTAAATAATAATATATATTGCAAAGGGAACAACACATTAGTAAAGGAAGACAAAGATAAAATCAGGATTTTCAACTTTCTACATGAATTTAGAATTACATAGCACTGTGTCTGTATGGTGCAATTATAAGAGAGGTAACAGCTTAAATGACTAAAATGAGTTCCCTAAAGTGTTATGAATTTATAATTGCATTATTACTATACTTAACATGAAAATAACTATCAACAAATAATTTTTATTGTTTTTAACTAAAGTTAAAATATCTTTAACTTTAAAAGATAAAACTTTTGAAAATTAAAATTTCCGATATCTGAAAGGAGAGAAAGCTGTATACTAATTTGCACAGTTGGC